AAGTTCCACCTGGTTGCTGTTGCTTACCCCATTCAACAATTTGTGGAGAACACCCTGCGCATCAGTCCCAGCTTACTCCAGCATCCGTAGCGAACAGGACGATTTTTTTGTCAACTTCCATAAGTATCGCGTTTTCGCTATACTGTCAGCACCAGTCTATTAATTCACTATTACACTGACACATTTTCTGATTGTGGGTGATCCTGCACCTTCAGCTACCTGCTCTCTGTCCCTTTGGCAAATACCATGCGATCACCATTCAGCACAGGTGGTAGAGGGAACTGACTGCAAGTTTGGCCGAGGAAATGAGTATCGTGTGCAGAAGAAGGGGTGTGTCTGTGAGGCTGGGTTTGGCGTGCCGCCAAGCCATTCTTCTCCAGTTTTTGAATCGGATACGCGACAACATTTGGTGGAAAACGATTGATAGAACGATATGAACAGTCTTTTCGCTTGCGAAGAGAAGAAAAAGGGCTGACGCTGCGCCAGACTAACCCTGGCATGCTCTTACGTCCGCAGCGAACAAGTCTGTACCCAGTGCAGAAAGAAGGACTTTGCCGCCATGGCCCCAAAATTAATGATGTGTCCTGACTGTTTCCATAATGTTAGATGTATTCCAGATCATAGGCCCTCGAGGGCTAGGGGCATTGTAAATCCCCCAAGACGAGTAGAATTAATACGCCCAGCAGGACCGAAGCTGACCCCCCACCCTGAGCAGGCGCAGCGTGGCAGTTTTCGAGGGAAGGTCCCTTATAGCGCCCTACCAAGCTGCAACAGATGCCCACACGACCAGGACGCCTACAGCGCCAGCCCGTACACAAATGTTCGATCGATGCTGATGCTTGTATTGCTTCATTTGCGAAGTAAGGCAGCGTTCATACTTCGCGACAGCAGCGGCGATCGCGGCGACCTCGGCGATCGCCGCGATCGTCGGTACGTGGCAGAGCGCGCCCCAACGCTATTATGGACCGCTCGCTTGATAAATAAGGGAATCCAACTTGTGAGACCTTCTTTTCTCTTAATAATGGCTACTAACTGATAACTTACGACTTTCTATACATAAGCGGATCTGGAATATGAGGTAAGGAGGTTTCACTTCTTTTTAGGTCGGGATAAGGCCAACTCCATTTCCTGGGTGAGCTTCTTTTGTTTCTTTTGTTTTTATTGTTTCAGTTTATACAAGCGCCTTGAGAGTTCTGTCGTCTGAACT